AACCTGGCAGTATCTGGAATTGTACATCAGGTCCATGATATGGAGGACGTCACACAATCGACACATGATTCTACTCATGACCAGGCCATCTCCAACCAACACTAGACTCACTGGGAATGTACGTCTGGACGATGGTAGGAAAAAAGAATGCCATGGTGGGGAAAAAGCAATCTACCAGATATATATATATATATATTTTAATACAGCATAGTGCTACAACTAAAACCTGGAGGCATCTGGAATTGTATATCAGGGCAGTGATAGGAAGTGCTATGTGCCACTGCCCTACTCTCAAATGAGTGGTATGATGCATCACTCAGGAGGACAGGCTTCCATGGTCCACCACCCCAGCAGCTAGGAACTCCCATACTCCACTAGAAGGAAGGAGGGAAAAAGGACCACACCACCAGAGACAGTGCAACGGGTGACCATTATACCCTATTTTGAAAAGCAGAGCTGCCATGTCGATGGAGTAAATCAACCAACACCCAGCAGCATCTGGAATTGTATGTCAGGTCCACAGTAGGAAGAGTTTCAATGCCATGGAGCATCAGAGATGGGCTGCAATATTTATGAAGCAAGATTGTTATAAAGATCAAGAGGGTTTGATTGATCCCAAAATACTATCTCCTTTCTAATTTCTTTATTAATGATGATGAGCAAGTAAAATTAGTGCCACTTCAAATGTCTCCCCTTCAAAGAGATACTGAAGAACTTTGTTGATCTAAGCAATCATGGCCTAAATACACTTGCTACAGCCAAAGTAAAGTATCTCTTTTAGCTTTTGTAAAACAGTTAAAATAACTGTTAAATGTAATTACAATGAGTCGTGATGTTCAAAAATACGAAGGAAAAAAACATGACACCTAAGATTTAAACATATGAATAAGTTATATACATATTTATTATAATTTAATGTATTAAATAATGAATTATGAAAAAAGTTACAGTTCATTTTAGAGATGAAATGTGTTGTTGCTAGTACCAGTCCTAAATCTGCAAGTGGGAAAAAAATAACTAGCAACTATTTGCTAGTGCCTTCAAAAAATTAAAGTTAAAGCACTTGTTATAACTATCATTATAATGAAATTGTGAATGTACAAAAAATAATATTTACAACATATATATAGAATAGTAATATTTTCAGAACTAATAGTTATTATACAGTATATTTTCCACAGATAAATGGAAAATATCATCCTATTTCTTTACTTACTAAAAGCAATTATATCCACATTTTTTGTAAGTAAACAAATATATTTCCTATTCGAA